CAACAAACATATCCTAGAACTAAACAATACCATAGATGAAAGTGGAACTTAAAAGACATTTGTGAATTTCATTGTACACATTTGTCTCAACAGGCCATGGAACTTCCTCCAAAATAGATCACATCCTAAGTCATAAAACAAACCTCAACAAATACAAAAATAATTAAATTTTAAACAATTCCCTGTATCCTAACAGACCATAACAGAATAAAATTAGAACCCAATAGCAAGGAAAACCACAGAAACCATTCAAATACATGGTGACTGAACAATACACTTTTGAAGGACAATGAGTCAAGAAAGAAATTCCAAGTTTCACATAAAAATGAAGACATAACTTACCAGAATCTGTGGGACACAGCCAAAGTAGCCTTCAAAGGGAAGTTTATAGCCATGAGCACCCACATCAGAAAATTAAGAGAGACCTCAGATAAATAATCTGATGATACATACACCTCTCAGATTCTTAGAAAAACAAGAGCAAGCCAATGCCAAAAGTAACAGAGAGAGACTGGTGGGTGTATTGTGTATTCACATATTAAAATGGAAGAACTGAAAACTTGTTAAAATTGTTCTAAGAAGGGGATTAGAGGGGCGAGGGAGAATGATGGCCTGGGTAAATCTAACTAAAATATATTGTAAGCACATATGTAAACATCACATCACAATGTATCCAGCTGAACAAATACAGTATATGCTAATAAAAAAATCAAAACCAGGTGCCAGTGGCCCAGGCCTGTATTGCTAGCTACTTGGGAGGACAAAAGTTCGAGGCCAGCCTGGGAAAACAGTTCCAGAGACCTCCATCTCCAAAATTACCAGAGCAAAATGGACCGGAGGTGTGGCTCACACATTAGAGTGCCTGCTTTGCAACCTCAAAGCCCTGAGTTCAAACCCCAGTTCCACCAAAAAACAGGAGTGAAGGAAATAGGGTAAATTGAAAGAAATAAAAGGGTACAAACAGGAGAAAAGGTCAAATTATAGCTATTTGCAGGTGACAAGATCCCATAACTAAAAGGTACTAAAGACTCCATCAGAAGACCCTTAGATCTGTAAGGGTCAGCAAAGTGACAGCATCCAAAATCAAATTAGAAAAATTAGCTTACACATCAATAATGAATCACTGAAAAACAAGTCATGAAAACAGTACAATTCCTAATAACCATAAATAAGTAAATGCATACATACATTTATGCATGTTTATGCCTAGGCATAAACTTAAAAACATTATCAAAGATCACTACAAGGCCAAGTACGAAGCACCAAACATAGAAACTGAAGAAGATACTAGAGAATCAAAAGACCTCTCATATTCATGGACTGGCAGAATTTCTAAAGTGTAAACAGCCATACTGATGTAACAGTCCAAGGAATACAGGTTTACTATGAAGACTGGCAGGGGAGATAAGATCCAAACCTCACCCAGATGGCCCACAGGTCACACTTTCATGGTTAACACTTCAGTTCTTGTCCCTGCATCACAAAGTGGGGAAGGGGTGCAGAGTGAAGGCAGGTAACCTTTGAAGTGTTTTTCCTACGTAAGGCTTCATGAATATTACTTCTATCTCATGCATACACTTATAACAGAAGTGAATTATGGGGAGGGACATGCGCAGACAGAAGTTAGTTACTGTAACATTTGGCTGTCAAACAAATCTGCTAATTACCTTAATTCCACCCAGGTTTCTCCTGCCAGCCTGATCTGAACCAAGTAAAAGCCAGAGAGTAGCCAAGCACCATTGGCTCACAGCTATAATCCTAGCTACTCAGGAGGCAGAGATCAGGAAAATTGAGGTTCAAAGCCAGCTGGGGCAAATGGTTCTCAAGACCCTGTCTTGGAAAAAACACACACAGACACACAGGGCTTGGTGGAGTGGCTCAAGGTAAAGCCAGCTGGGGCAAATGGTTCTCAAGACCCTGTCTTGGAAAAAACACACACAGACACACAAGACACACACACACACACACAAAGGGCTTGGTGGAGTGGCTCAAGGTAAAGCCAGCTGGGGCAAATGGTTCTCAAGACCTGTCTTGGAAAAAACACACACAGACACACACACACACACAACACACACACACACAAAGGGCTTGGTGGAGTGGCTCAAGGTAAAGCCAGCTGGGGCAAATGGTTCTCAAGACCCTGTCTTGGAAAACACACACACACAGCACACACACACACACACACACACACAAAGGGCTTGGTGGAGTGGCTCAAGGTAAAGCCAGCTGGGGCAAATGGTTCTCAAGACCCTGTCTTGGAAAAAACACACACAGACACACACACACACACACACACACACACACACACACACACAAAGGGCTTGGTGGAGTGGCTCAAGGTAAAGCCAGCTGGGGCAAATGGTTCTCAAGACCTGTCTTGGAAAAAACACACAGACACACACACACACACACACACACACACACACACACAAAGGGCTTGGTGGAGTGGCTCAAGGTAAAGCCAGCTGGGGCAAATGGTTCTCAAGACCCTGTCTTTGAAAAAACACAACAGACACACATACACAACACAGACACACACACACACACACACAAGGGCTTGGTGGAGTGGCTCAAGGTAAAGCCAGGAAAATTGAGGTTTAAAGCCAGTGGGGCAAATGGTTCTCAAGACCCTGTCTTGGAAAAAAACACCACACAGACACACAGACACAAGGGCTTGGTGGAGTGGCTCAAGGTAAAGCCAGCTGGGGCAAATGGTTCTCAAGACCCTGTCTTGGAAAAAACACACACAGACACACACACACACACACACACAAAGGGCTTGGTGGAGTGGCTCAAGGTAAAGCCAGCTGGGGCAAATGGTTCTCAAGACCCTGTCTTGGAAAAAACACACACAGACACACATACACACACAGACACACAGACACACACACACACACACACACACACAAAGGGCTTGGTGGAGTGGCTCAAGGTAAAGCCAGCTGGGGCAAATGGTTCTCAAGACCTTGTCTTGGAAAAAACACACACAGACACACACACACACACACACAAAGGGCTTGGTGGAGTGGCTCAAGGTAAAGCCAGCTGGGGCAAATGGTTCTCAAGACCCTGTCTTGGAAAAAACACACAGAGACACACACACACACACAGACACACACACACACACACACAAAGGGCTTGGTGGAGTGGCTCAAGGTAAAGCCAGCTGGGGCAAATGGTTCTCAAGACCCTGTCTTGGAAAAAAGACACACAGACACACAGAGACACACAGACACACAGACACACACACACACACACACAAAGGGCTTGGTGGAGTGGCTCAAGGTATAGGCCCCAAGCTCAAACACCAGTGCCGCAAAAAAAAAAAAAAAGCCAGACAGATCCCCGACCACAGTGCTCTTGAGCTGTTCTCCCTTCACAGCATTACTTTCACCTTCTGCTTTCAATAAACTTTGCTGTTTTGCCCCACACTCCTTATCTCTTGGATTAATTCTTTTTTATGACTCCATATAAGAGCCTAACATGACTCCCAGGCCCTGGTAACAACATTACTAAATATGTTCTAGAGACTCAATGCAATCCCCATCAAAATTCTAGTGACATTCTTCACAGAAATAGAAAACAATCCCAAAATTCATCTGGAAATATGAGACTGAGACGCTGAGGAGCTAAAGCAGTACTATGCACAAACAGCCCCTGCAAGAGCTATCCCAATTCCTGACTTGAAACTATAATCCAGAGCATGGTACTTGTACAAAAACAGACAAACCAATGGAATAGAAGATCCAGAAGTACATACATGCAGCTGCAGCGTGTAGCCATGACATACACTGGGAGGAAAGGGCCTCTTTAGGAAGTGGTCCTGGGAAAAGTGAATACACACACATGTAGAAGACTGAAACTAGAATTCTGTCTCTCACCCTGTGCAAAAATTGACTCAAAGTGGGTCAAAACCACATGGTATGTAAGTACACGGAGACGTATTATTCAGCCATAAGGAAGAAAGAAATTATGTCACTGGGGGAAAGTGCATGGAACTGCAGAACATCATGTTAGCTCATAGAAGCCACACTGGAGAATAGTTACCACATGTTTCCTCTGACATGTGAATTTTTAGCAAAAGTGAAACGAAATAAAAGACGGCACTGTTAGGTCTGTGGAAGGAGAAAAAGGGATTGGGAAAGTGTGGAGAGGAAAGGGAAAAAACTGATCAGAGGGTGGCTCTGCCTGTGATCCTGCCTACTCGGAAGGCTGAGATTGGGAGGGTCACTGTTTGAGGGCAGCCCTGGCAAGAGAGCTCATCTCCAAAATAACCAGAGCAAAACAGACAGAAAGTATGGCTCAAGTGGTAGAGGGCCTACTTTGCCAGCGTGAAGCCCTGACTTCAAACACCAGTCCTACCAAACAAACAATGCTGGGGCAGGAGAAGCACAAGTTCAAGGCCAGCTGGGGCTTCACAGTGAGTTCAAGGCCAGTCTGTCATAGCATGACCCTGTCTCCTCCCTCCAAATAAAGAGTGCAAAACTTTAAAAAAGCAGAATGAATATCTGAGAAGTATAAGACAATTACACAGAGAGCAAAATCCTGTAACGGTAATAGAAGAAGGAACAGAAAGCACACACACAAGGTTTGCAGAGAGAATTTCAATTATCAGAAACCCAGTCACAACAGATCGATGGGTACAGACCTTGGCATAACAGCTGCCAAAAGAAATGAGGAAACTGTACCTGGAAATACATTCAAAACAAACAGGAGAAAAAAACCTTAACGCAAGGCATAAAAACACTTTGCCTATAAAAAGCATCTATGTCTTATTCTCAGGAATCACACAAGCAAGAAGACCCAGGAGCAATATAATAAATGTGCCAAGAGAGCAAATACACACTAAACTACAACTTACATCTTGTCAATTGTCCTTTCAAAGGGAAGCAGAAGTACAAGGATGATAATCTTCTACCTTTAATTTACAAATTAAAAGGAATTCTAACCAGACACTGGGCAAGAAATGCTAAAAGACACTTGTCAGAGAGAAGGGAAAAAAATAACTTAACTGATTTAAGAAATTTACCTAAACTAATAATAATAAGAATATATTCAATGATCACAGTTTATGTGCAAGTGAAATAAATGAAAGTGACACAAGGGACAGGAAGGAGGAATCAGAAATATTTTGCTACGTTAGGCACTTGCACTATACTTTTGAAGTGGTATAGTACATTTAAAAGTGAACTTAGATTAGTTGTATATGTGTATTTCAAATTTCAGGCAACCACTTTGAAAAGTTTTTCAAAGAAGTATAATTTCTGCAAAACAGAGAAATATGGTGTCATACGCAATACACCCCAGTAAAACAAAAAGGTTAAAGGAGCAGAATACAAAAATAGGGACTCAAGACAAGGTTACCAAGCTAACAAAACACAGTAACAAATAAGGTAGAAATTAATCCACGTGTATCACTTTATATCACTTTAAGTGTCCGTGCTCAAAACATGCTGCCGGAGTGACTCAACTGGTAGAGCACCTTGAGTTCAAACCCCAGTACCGCCAACAACAAAAACAAACCAAAAAGTCAAAGATTTTCTGGCTAGAAAACAGACTGCACTCTGCATGGTCTACACAAAGGACTTTACATACACTTCATATGTGCAGATCAACGATAAAACAATGGAAAAAGCTCACCGTGCTGACACAAGCTGAAGAAAGGCAGGGTAGCTCTATTAATTTCACACTGAGGAGATTTCAAGCAAAGCAAAATTGTAAAAGTTATAGAGGGGGGCATTGTATAAAAGCAATTATCCAAGTACTTCTAAGAATTCTGACATTGCTGTGCCACACAACAGAGTTTGAGGCAACCATGAAGCAAAACTGGTAGAAATGCAAGAAGAAATAGATGAAGCTGCTATTATAGGTGGCTACTTCAATATCTCTTTTTATCAGAAATGAATAGCTCCAGCAGACAGAAAATTAGGGTTGAACACACCACCACCATCAACCAACTGCATATAATTAAAACTGGTAAATTACTTCATTCAACACCAGTCCAGTACATATTCTTTCAAGCACACATGCAACATTCACCAAGAAAGAAGACCACTTCTGGGCCATAAAACATTCATTAGTAAATTTAAAGCAACAGATATTATGAACATCCACACTCACACCACAGAAAGATTAAACCAGAAATCACTAACTGAAACCTTAAAAGGCTCAAACTATGTAAAGACTGAACAACACACTTGTGAATAGTACATAAATCAAAGAAGAAATGTCGAGAAAATAAATATTTTGATCAAAATAAAACCTAATTTATCAAAATTTGTAGGAAGTGGTGCTTACAGGGAAATTTATAGCATCAAGTACATATATTAAATACGAAACTATTAAAACCAACAACCTAAGATTCTAACCTTAGAAACACTTCTAAAGGAGTAAATCAAGTCCTAATAAATGTCAATTAGGACACAAGTCAAACTAATTTAAAAAAAAATCAGCACAGAAAGTCGGTAAAACAAAAACCTAGTCATTTGAAAAGATGGGGCTGATTAATACTAGAAATGAAAGATGCCACTACAGAGATCCCATGGCCATTAAAAAGATAGGAAGTAGCTGGGCATAGTGGCTCATGCATGTAATCTTGACTACTTCTGAGGCAGAGATGAAGAGGATCATGATTTTGAGGACACCTCAGGCCAAAAAAAAAAGTGTTAATGGAACCATCATCTCAGTCAGTAAGCCAGGTATTGTTAAGAGGTTAAGGTTGGTAGATACGACGCAACTATCTGCTCTTTTCACTCCAAGAAGGAGACAAGTCAAGGTAATTAAGGAGAGACTATATTCTGGAGAGAGGAAGCGCTTCGGAACAAAGCACACAGGGTTGTAAGGTGAAGACTGGCAGGTTTTGAAGGTGAAGGTTTGGCACGGATCCACCCCCCGACCCCCAACCCCTTAGAAATGCCCCCCCTTTCATGGTTAACGCTTCAGTTCTTGTGGACCCCTGCGTCTGCATCCTGCAAAGTGGAAAAGGGGAGTAGCCGGCTCAAACTAGTTCTGAAGGCACGTGCCGCTCGCTGTAGCCCACCTGGCACCCTTCCTAACCTTTTAAGTGTTTTTCCCTACTTACGACTGCACGAATATTATTTGCCTCTCATGTATATACACTTAAGAGTGAATTACGGGGAGGGGCATGCGCAGTCAGAAATCAGTGCTACACCATCTGGCTGTCAATCAAATCTGCTAATCACCCTAACACCACCCACAGAACCGCCCAGGTTTCTCCCACCAGCCTGGCGCAAACCACATAAAAGCCAAGTAAGATCCCACAGGACCGTACTCTCCGGCTGTGCAGGTCCAGACGACCATTTGTCTCCTGCAGGAGTTACTTTCACGTTCAACCCTCCTTTGCCCCACACTCCCTTTTTTCTCCGATCAATCCCAATTCCAGACAAGAGCCTGACGCCACCCCCAGATTGCCGGTAACAAAAGTAACAAAAATCACATGCATCAGAGAAAATCTCCATAATGTCCAAAGTCCAACTCAACCCTCCTAGGGTGAGAAAGGGAACCAGAGACAGCCACCAGTTGAGACCCTGTGAACACAACCACCTGCCAGGGATTTAGATTCTTCACAGACACTAAGCTATGTGAGTGAGCAGGTGAGAGCTGTGTGCCCGCGCAACTGAAGGGCTCCAGTGGTGAACGTCGGAGCAGAGTGGGTAGCATGAATCTTAGGCAGAGTATGTCACTCCACTGCTACCTGTTGGGTACAACCCCACTCACAAATGAGAGCCATATCCACTCAGACCTCTGGACTATTCAACAGCAAAATGCTTTGTTAAAGAGAATTGATTGCCCTAGAGTGTGCCACCCAGGAGCCCCTAGGTGATCCCCCCCTCCCTCCCTGTTCCAACCAGGTTGTGAAACTCTGCTGGCACCTGAAGCTACAGGAAAAACCTCTTTCCTGGAAAAACCTCTGTCCTGGAAAAACCTGCCTGGCAGGCCAGAAGCCTCCAGAAGTGAAACCCCACCCGTCTGAACCTGTTCCCATAGCATCTATACCAAGAGAGCCTTCAGAGTGCAAATCACTAGCTAGAGGAACACCTCTAACCACAATAGGGACAGATGTTTGTGAACCAAAGACTGAAGGACAATGCTGGAATGCTGGACACTGAGACATAATCCAAGCACTATCACAACTTCTCTTCGGTGAGAAATGTAACCTTTAAAGCAAAATTTGTTTTGTTCCTTTAAAAAAAAAAATTTGTCTTCTGTCACAATTTTTTCTTATTAAGTTTCACTTTTTTTTTTTTGCTGTGTTTGTTTTTTCCCTTATTTCCAAACCATTCTTTATTTCTGTTATAACCATACTGTGCTCATCATACCATTATTTCCTATACCTAATTCCCCATCCCTATTTTTGTACTTCTCTCCTTTTCCCACCTCCATCCCTTACATTACTCAATTCCCAATTCTTCCATGTTCAACCAGTGTTAAGATCCCAGATCATCCCTTAGGAACCAGAGTTTTGTTTGCATACAACCTAGGTAAGGGTTCCCAATTGTTTCTTGCTTACTACAGTATCTGGTTTATGCTGGTTGAGTGGCTCAAGTGGTAAAGGCCTGCCAAGCAAGTGTGAGGCCCTGACTTCAAACCCCAGAACTGCAAAAAAACAAAAGAAACAAGAAAAATCTGAACTGTTGACCTTGTTACTGCAGTAGGTTCCCCTACCTAACTGAGGAAGTACAAGAGAAACCCAGGCCAACAGATGAGTAAACCACAGCACAGAAATTTAAATACAAAAAACTAAGCCCAAACCACTCAACAACTCAACCACTAAATCCAAGGGCAATAAACTGCATGAAATAACAGATAGGTAAGTCAGAAGTCTACTGTTAAAAATTATTCAAATAAACAGATAAATGAAGTTAGCAAATGAATTTAAGACCTAGACAAGAAAGTTGGCAACATGGATGAGAAATTCAGCAAGGTAATGCAAATTAAAAAGAAGGAAAAAAAAAGGGGGGGGGTAGGGGAAAGAAAACCAAAAACATAAGTAGAAATGTTAGAAATGAAGCCCTCCATAAATCAAATAAAAAACAGTATGAGCCGTAATATTACCAGACAAGACCAAGCAGAAGAAAGAATATCAGAGACGGAGGACTTTATCACCAAGGGGGAAAAAAAAAAATCATAGCAGAAAATATCCCAAATCTAGATAATAATATAGACAAAGTCCCTCATGACCAGAAAACAACAACTTCACATCATATAATTAAAATGCCAAGACTGAAGAACAAAGAAAGCATACAGAAAGAAAGCTGCAAAGGAAAAATGGCAGCTTGCATACAAACATAAATATGTAACAATCACCTCAAAGCTGTCAGCACAAACCCTAAAAGCTGGGAAATCATGAAATAGTATGTCGTGCTCTGAGAGAGAATTACGGCAAACTAAAGAATATTATATCCCGCAATGCTATCCTTCAATTTTGATGGAGAAACAAAAACCTTCCAGGAGAAAGGATAAGCTAAAGAAGTTCATGTACACAAACCTACACTGCAGAAGACAATTAGTGAGTGTTTCACACAGTCTCCACAAACACAAGAAACCAGGAAAGAATAAAATTCAAAAGGGATATTGGTGAACCCATGAGAGCCGGGAACGTATAAAGCATGTTCAACTCGGTAACACAAAATACAAACAGAAAAGGGAACCCATAAATCAATCCAAAACATACCGGGTCAACTGCTTTTTGATAATGGCACCCACAAGAGTCGATGAACCAGCTACCCAGAAGCCAGACCTCAAGAAGATCGCACCTCAGCCTTGTGCCTTACCCACCAATAAACCAGGCATGGTGGCAAACCCCTATAATCCCGACTACGTGGGAAGGTATAGGTAGGAGCATCGTGGTCTGACGCCAGCCCTAGGCAAAAACAGGAAACCCTACTTGAAAAAACTAACACAAGTAATAATGGCTGGGAAGTTGGCTCTTAGTAGTAGCACCTGCCCAGCACGTGCAAGCCCTTAGTTCAAACCCCTCAAAAAAGAACCAATGAAGAATGTACAGTTCCAATAAATGTTCTTGGAAAAACCGGATTTCCACATGCCAAACCAATGAAAACAGACCCTACCCCAAACACAACAAAGAAAACAGAGTGGTTCAGGAGGCAGAGCGCTCGCTCCGCAAGCCTGAGTCTCTTGAGTTCAACCCCCCTAACTGCAAAAGACAAAACAAAGCAAAACTAACCAGAAACACCTAAAAGTAACAGTAACAGCCGAAAACCAAAAACACTACTAGAAGCAAACACAGGGGAAAATTTCCTTGACGCTGGCCTTGGCAATGTCTCTTGGGTATCATACCAAAAGTTCAGGCTGTAAAGCAAAAATAAACTTACTGCAACTACACCAGAACAAGTATCTGCACAGCAAAGGAAACAATCACCAATCAAAGGATGAGACAAGTGATGTGTACCCTCAGGACTACAGAAAATAAATCTGCTGTGCATTTGGGATTCATGATGACCAGATTTTTAGTTGATCTTGCTAAAAAAGAAACCAGCAACCGTGTGCTGATGCAACTACGTGCAATACTGGATGTTAGTATTATGCATCACAAAACCATCCACAATGTACCTCATATCATCCTTCAGACTGTATACCTTAACGACACACAATAAAGTTTATTGTCTTAAAGGCATCCAATTAAATACAGTAAGAATCTACACGTAGTTACTGCCTTGAAAACTATAAAATGCACATATAATATTGCACATATAATTATCAGAATCAATGCATAATCAATTACCAGTTGGATCTCAGCAGGAATAATCATCAGCATACTGGGTTCAAAGATCAGACCCTAGTGAAGCTGGTACAGAGGTGCAGAGGGTTAAGGAAAACAGGAAGGGATGGTGAGGGACTCAAGAGAACAGCAATACTGAGGAGCTCTCAACAACACCTAGGAAATACTTCTGAATCTGTGAGAACTGCATCTGTCCAGGAGGGACTATGCGCAAGGTTGAGTTCAAGGAGAGAGAAAATAGGCCTTGTTCCTCTTTCCCATTACCTTCTGATCTGCTAATGCTTCCCACTGGCCCATCTTAACTGCTCAGGGAGCCTGGATGATAAATTTAGAGATCAGACACACTCGGGCACAGTGAAAGCAGAGAAGGGATTAGGGCAGGAGGAAACAGCAAGGGAGAGCAACCAGAATACAACCTCAGAAGAAGACAGGAAACAAATGCTTAAACTACTCCTTACAGGTCACAGGAGCCTCACAATGTGGCCTGGGATTTGAATCTAGGACTTCTACCTCCAAGTACAGGTCCCAGCTGGACTCGATTCCTGTCTAGAATCTAAAGAACATTCTACTGTTCTCTGTCAAACATATCCCTCTCTATTGGACTTTTATTCTGCAAACTAATTCTGCTTTGTTTTAACTATAAACGATTTTGTCTTTCTTTCAGGGGATTTTTGTTATTGTCGTTGAGGTTGTCTGCAGGGGTAAGAGACTGAACTCAGGGCCTTGCACATAATACGCAAGCTCTCTACCATTAAGCTATAAACCCTAGGCCCAGTACCTGAAGTTTGGGGGTGGAGGCAGTACTGGAAATTGAAGTCAGAACCTCGCCCTTGCTAGGCAGGAGCTCTACCACTTGAGTCCTACCCCCAGCCCTTCAGGCTTTAGTTGTTTTTCACAGGGGGGTCTCAGGCTTTTGCCTGAGCCGGCCTGGACTGCAATCCTCCTACCTGTGGGGTAACAGGTGGATACCACCACGCCTGGTTTATCTGTCGAGGTGAGGCTCTTGCTAGCAACTTTGCCCAGGCAGGCCTCAAATCAGGTTCCGGCCAATCTCCAACTCCCGAACAGCGGGGATTACAGGCAAGAACCAACATGGCCAGCCCCTCAGCTCCCTAAAATTTTAAGGTAAAACTCACGTAATATAAAAATTACCCATTTTAAAGTGTGCGATTTAGTGGCATTTAGTATATTCACAATGATGCACAGTCATCACCACTCTGCAATTCTTAAATATCTCCATCACCCAGTAAAAACCCCTACCCATTAAAATTTTGTTTTCTCCAACCCCGGAAGTCAGGAAACCACTGACCTGCTCTCTAGCTCTATGACCCACCATATTATGCAGCCTCTGCACAGATTGCAGTTTCAGACTGATGGTGTGTTTCCTTTCCTTCTTCTCTTTTGCAGGTACTGGGGACTTAAGTCAAGGCAAGTGCTCTATCACTTAAGCCACACACACACCGCCTCCCCCCGCTCACCCCAGCCCTTTTTGCTTTTAGTTTTTCAGACAGCATTTTGCACCTTTTCCTGGCACCAGCCTCAGGCATAGCCTCTGCTCTCCAGCAAAGCTGGGAGGAGAGGCCTGTGCACCACAGTAACAGAGCTTTTTAAATCATGCATTTCACTGTTTTTGTTTTGTTTCGTTTTCCTGGTATCGTTCAATAGTCTGACCCTGTGTTCCTCACCCCAGCCTACTAAGAGTGTATGCAAGGGAGAAAATAACTTACATTTGAGGGACTGAAAAGACTGGAGAGACTGACTGACTCATCAGAAAGATTCTGTGGGAAAGAGATACTGAAAATATCTTTCTTACACACCATGTTAAGTCACCAGTCTATATTTTACTTTAAGTGGATTGATTTCACAGTGGGAAGGAACTACTAGGCTGAATGTTAGACATTAATTGCTAGGAGACAGAAGTCATCTTATGATGTCATAGCTGCTCAGCTTGGGAACCATTATGATGGATTAGGTGAGTCTGTGCAGATCTACTGGCGCAGCATTTGTGAAGCTGCAGTGTTCAAAACCATGCAGATAAGCGTAGCTAAGGAAAAATTTACTTGAGATGGCACAGGTATCTTTAGAACCTCCAGATGGTTCTCCCAAGGATGAGTCCACTGGTTCAGAGACCCCCGTCACATCTTCATTGTGTGGTCACACATCCACTGAGGACTCAGAATTAAGGTCTATTATTGAGGAAAAGGCTTTTCGGGCTCTGTCTCAGGGTTCCCTGATAAAAAGACCACATCTCACTTTTTGAGTCTCTGAACCAGATGACGACAATGACTTTCTTTCCCTGACTTTTCCCAAAAAACTTTGGAAAATAGTAACAGTGACAAATTTAAGTCTATTTGGTGGGATGAAGATGGCACTTCTATAGTGATTAACGAGGAACTCTTTAAGAAAGAAATTTTGGAAAGAAAGGCTCCTTTCAGAATATTTGAAACTGACATTATGAAAAGTTTTGTTCGACAGCTTAATCTTTATGGATTTAGTAAAATGCGGAAAAATTTTCAAAGATCTGCTTCTCTAGCCGACTTCCTGGCAGAAGAAAAAGAAGTCTCTACCTTAAACAAGGTATTCATTTACATTTCCTCACTTACTAATTATGTACTAATTATGTGATTTTATTTTGTACATCAATTCATGATATTAATGTTAAAATCAACTTTTTCAAATTAATTGCAAACTAAGGACACACTGAGCATTAAACATTTAGGGTTTTAAGAAATTTTGCTAGCAAATTCGAACTCTGGATAAAGGGATTTAGTAACGTTGTACTGACTGTACTACAAATATACAGCATGTATAGTCACTTGAAGAACGATCATATTTGAATGCCTGTTTCCCAGTAAGTATATACTAAGAGGTTCAAGTAGGTTAATGAGATTCACTGCATGGGCTGAAACTAAAATCTGTGATTTCATACAGTAGGCTTGTTATTGTCTCTTGGTTATAAAATGTCACTAAGTAACATTCTCCTTTGGTTTCAGTTACAGTTCTATCGTAACCCAAATTTTAAACAAGGCTGTCCCCAGCTTTTAGTAAGAATGAAACGAAGAGTTGGGATTAAAAATACTTCTCCAGTAACTGCTCCATTAGTTCCAGATCCCCACAAGAAGCACCTAAGAGCAGGGGAAATGCGGATAACCATAATTCTGGTTTAGCTGACGAAGCTAGTAGAGAAAGTTTATTTTCAACCTCTACAAATTTAAGTGTGCCTCTGATAAAGAAGCCTTCTTCCAGTCACAGAATTGCTAACACAACCACCTAAGGACAAGTGATTTTTCTCCTCCATCAATTTCAGCTAAACCATCAGAACAAAGTGTCACAGATCAGCATCCAATTTTCAATCAGTTGACCTCTTTTCATAGGCACTCACTGGGCAGCTATATACTCAGGCAAGTGCCCACATTGTGAATTTGAATTTCGTTACAACTTCTTCTTCTAAATACTACATCCTACCTAACTTAGAGAACATGTTTTCTGGACTAATGATGGTGCCTTCTACTTTCCCAATTAGATATCCTGACCTATCAACCAGTGAGGTTTCCGAGTCTAACCAGCTAACAGCAGGCAACCCACGGTACCCAGTGCTCACAATAACTGATACATCTGCTGCCTCACATTCAAATTCAACTGATAAATATGAAGATCAAACATCTTCGTTACAGCAACAGCTTCCTAACAACAGTCTAGCAAGCGAGTAGCAGATTTTGCAGGATGAATTTCGGCTGACAAATACGTAAAATGTGCCTGTAATTCTCTTATGTGAACAATAAAACTATATGTCCACCATTGTGGCTTCTCTTTCCTTATTTTTCAGAAAATTCAAGAGTAAGATGGTGTTTTATTTCAATGCAGACCACTGTACTATTCATCCTTTAACATATGATCTTCTTAGTCATTTGACAGGAAATGGGTCACACACCCGTCTAACTAAGTAGAGCTATTTTTTAAAATAAAGAAATAATGAGAGCAAAGAAAACTGCAGCGAGGAAAATTAGAGATATAAACTAGTCCGACAAGGGACTAAGGAGGGTATAAATCAGGAAGAGAATTTTACAACTGGTAGTAACAAGGGCCAGTTTCTTTGGAATGAGGCATTCCAGCTGGTTTGTGCCTTTCAGTTCCTTTCACCAGAGATGACCTTTCATGTTTTCTAATGCACTCTTTTATCATATTGGTACCCTGCTCCATCCCAGGACAAAGTTAATTCCTTGTGCCTGCACTTAACACTGTTTAGGTTCTGAGCCAAGATCCTCACATGGCTAACAAATTCTGTCAAGATCTGGCATCTCTGTACTTTGCAGCTTGTCTATCTGTTCCACCACTGCTCGTCTGGAGCTACATTCAGGCAAACTCCTTCTAGCACACCCATTCCCATCTTGTGACTTTTGTCTGTTTCCTCCCTGGGGTTAAACGCCCTCTCTCCTTTGCCCACTGTATTAGTTAGGACGTTGTGTCAGGACAACCACAGTACCTAAGAGAACAGCACTGAGAAGGAAGGGTTCATTTTGGCTCACACTTTCAGGGGATTCAGTCCATCACTGTGGCGCTGCTGTTTCTGGACCTGTGGTGAGGCACAGCATCATGGGAGCAGGGGCATGTGGCAGAGGCTTCTTCACCTAAAAGTGGACAGGAAGCAAGAGGGTGAGAAAGAGGAACCCAGGACAAGATACAGCCGCCAAGGACGTGAGCCCAGTGACCTCCTTCCTCCATCTAGACCCACCCTCCCTAAGTTTCTACCATCACCGAAAAGAGCGTCACCAGTGTACAACATAGAGGCCTGTTGAGAATGTTTCATATTCAAACGCTAACACCTACTTAAGTACTACTTTACCCTTCTCAAGACAGATACCACTTCTTCTAGGAGGTGTTTTTGGTCTACCGTGTTGGTTTCCTTGTCTGTCTTGGACACCCAGTACTGACCTAGGACAGGGCCTTCCACATTCACAAATCCCTTTTCAACGTTTACTGAATACTGACCTAAACCCCCTAAAATCTGCTCGCACTCCCCAAAATGACACACATCTCATGGCACTCAATTATTATTTTTTAATCTGTGCTCTTCCCCATGATCTTTCTTAAAACGCTAGGTCACAGTAGTGTTCAATAGAGGTGGAATGATTTTTAACTTACTGCAACTAACATAACACCTGTTTACCACTTTAAGCAACAACTACCAGGGTCTCTTTACTAGTTGTCAGTTGATTTGCAAATGATGTACACAGTAAAACTTCCAGCAGTACCACCAGAGTCTTTATACCAGCTCACTGATATGTACTGATTATTCCTGTGCTTCTTCCAAAATAAAATGTCTTTTCCATTTTCTGATGTGGCTGGCAAACCCTTTCCCTGAGAGAACCTGCTCTCTACTTACCAGTCCTTTACCTAGAGCACAGCTATAAAGCTTTGTGGATACCACCTGTACAACTTTTAAGCAGCAGCACTGAAGGCCCGGTGGAGTGGCTCAAGCAGTAACGAGCGCCTACCTAGCAAGCTTGAGGCCCCAAATTCAAACCCCAGTGCTGCCAAAAAGGAAAAAAAATATATATTTGCTGACAAAAGCAGCATCTATAGCAAAGACTGTACAACACTTCCAGTGTTATGAACCAAATCCCTAACAAGATTCATTCACTCAGTCATCTGGGATGGCTGGGGTTGGAACAGGGTATGCTTTTGGACTCCCAAAACACCTATTGCTACCATCCTTCCAAAATACATGTGTTCAAACTATACCCATGTAAGGAAAGAGTTGGAATCAGTGATCTACAGAAGGAATCCTCCTGTAGATGTCCTGACATCTCATGACACAAGACATTTTCTGCCAACATGACACTAATGTATTATCTCTAGCTCTCAGAACCTTATTTAACTTGGCTCAATAAACATTATTAAATGTGGTCATAAATGAGTGTTTCAAAGTTGAAGCTTAGTCATGAAAAACAGGTGTTATGCTATGACAGAGCAACCATTCAGCACATGTGAGGTCCTGGCTTCAATATAAGAGAATGGAAAAGAAAAAGAAAAAGGGGAATGGAACAGATTAGGTTGAACAAATAGTGAACAGTGTGACAAGAAAAAAATGATGCAAGTGTCAAATTAGATTAAGAATGTGGGATAAAATACTGTAAGGTTATGAGTAAAGTAAATGAAAAAGAATAGATAAAGTTGGCCAACTCGACTGGGCTGAGAGACGTCTACGAGATTAGTAAAACACACTTCTGAGTGTGCCTGTGGGGAGTTTCCAGAGATGGGGCAGTAAAGGGGTGGGTGGGGGAGGTGGGGGTGGAGAGTGAACACTCCCTGAATGTACCCAGCACCAGCCAACAGGTTTCTGAGAACATGCCTTTGAAGCGTGCATCCTGTCCCAGCCCCCTTCCCTCTGGTACTCTCTCTCTGCTTCCTAGCCACAGGAGGCACGAAGCTTGGCTCTGCCCTGATCTCCCCCCACCCTCCATACTTTCAGCCTCACCTCAGACATGCAACAATGGGGCCAGGTGACCATGGGCCAAAATCTCTGAAGCCATGAGCCAAAATAAATCTTTCCTCCTGTAAATTGTTTCTGTCAGGTACTTTGTCATAGGAGAGTCTCAATAACACACTGGGCTTGGTGGTGTCCCAACCTGGTCTGCACAGCAAGACGTTCTCTAAAAAAACATGTAATATACATAAATGACTTATATATGTTGTTATCTATGTATCTGTGGTATACACAGTACACATATTTATATATAAATACGTGTGTGTGTGTGTGTGTGTGTGTGTATAGTATGTGTATGTATATACCTATGCCTGTACGTGTCTCATAAGACTCTGAAAGGTCGAGTGAACAAGTAAACCAATGAGGGAACTTAAGACCCAACTCACAACGAAGTAGGTGAGTGAATTCCCTGGGTTTTCTTTTTTGCCTCATGGAGCACAGGTGTGGTCCTTAAAAAGCTGATAGTCCCAAAATGGAGCTGGATTGGATGGCGTACACCTGTAATCCAAGCACTGGAGAAGGAAGAAGCAGGAGGTTCAGGAGTCTGAAGTCAGCCTGGGATCACACTATGAGTTGGAGGCCAGCCTGTGATATGCAGGGAAAACCCTATCTCAAAAAAAAAAAAAAAAAACCAAAAAGGCTGGAAGAGGTGCCTCATCCCTGTAATCCCAGCTACTGTAGAGGCACAGATTGAAGGATGCCAGTGCGAAGTCAGAGTGGGCAAAGTTAGCAAGACCCTATCTCAAAAAACAAAGTAAAAGCAAAAGGGCTGGGGCACAGTTCAAGCGGTAGAGGGCTTGCCTACCAAGTCCTGGGTTTGATCCCCAGTACTGTGAAAATAAATAAATGACATGTATGTCAGGAAGGAAAAACAAAACTGTATCTACTTGCAGATAACATAATTGCCTACTTACAAAATCTCAAACAGTCTCAAGAAACTCAACAAATGAGTCAGCTCAACAAGGTCACAGGATCAACAGACAAATACACAAAACAGTTATACTTCCACAAACAATGTAAAAACTGCAATTAAAAATAAAAATATAATACCACTGAGTGATTTTTGGCCAAGATTCAAAAGCAACACCAATGGCGGAAAGACGGTCTTCTGACAAATGGAGAGCCACCGGCAAAAAAGAAAAAGGAACCTCAATGTAAACCTCACACCTTAGAAAACAATCAAGTCAAATGAAACACGAAACCGGTGTGACGGAGTACACCCGAAATCCCAGGGAGACAAAGGCAGAAGGATCAAGAGTTTGAGGTGTGTCCAGGCGAAACTGGCAGAGACCCTTTCTCAAAAACAAAACACAAACAAAAGAGCTGGAGGTGTGACTCAAGTAGCAGAACATTCACCTGGCATGCGGGATGCCTTACATTCAATCCCCAGTACTGGGGAGGGGCCAAAGGAATACTTCTTTAAGCCAGAACATGAGTTTCAACACAAAAAATGAAGATAATGATATAAAAGTGAAAATGATGAAATATTCTTATATTTACTTACCTTTAAAGCAATCACTGCCAATTAACATTATACAAATGAAGCAAGAAACACTAGTTTCTATCTTATTTTTTTCCTTATGCAGTAAGGCGAATAAAAGGTGTTAACATTGAAGACACCTATTACATAAACGACAGACTTTGTCACATGAATACACACACCTAAGCCTCAACAGAAATCGCTTCTGGAACATACCTATTTCTCTTATTAATCGCTACAAATCTAGTAATATGCATACACTGTCTGGTGGCTGTTCTCATAAATCTCAGACATGAACTATTTGCTGAACTCCTGTAATCTTCTGACTTGATTCTGACATTAAATTACACATAAATATGTTTATATGACAAAAACATCAAGAGAATTCTAAAGACATGGAAGTTCTGTCATCACCTTTGCTTTACGCCACAGATAGACTGGGAAGGTAGTTCCAACACTGCTGCATAATTGCACATTAAACCGATTAGAAGGCTACTTAAGCTACACAGCTCACTTTATCAAAGTGCAGGAAATTTTGAACCCTGTTGTTTGTTCTACTGAGACTTTCATCCTCATTCTCTCTTGCGCTCTGTGTGTGTGTGTGTGTGTGTGTGCATGTGTGTTTGTGACAGAAAGAGAGAGAGAGAGAGAAAGAGAGAGAGAGAGCGTGAGTGCTAGAGCTGGGGGGACAGAGAGAGAGAGAGAGAGATACTGGGATTTGAACTCACGGCTTCCCACTTGCAAAGCAGGCTCTCTACCACTTGAGTAACACCTCTGGTCAATTTTGCTGTTTTATTTTGGAGATGGGCTCTGGAGAACTGTTTGCCAAGGCTGGCCTCAAACCTCAATTCTCCCAATCTCAGCTTCCCAAGTAGGTAGGATTACAGCCGTGAGCCACTGACACCCAGCCAGAGTATTTCATGGTCAAGGATTCCTGGTGAAGCTTAAGAAAGGTACAACAGACTGTTGAAAAAAAAAAAAAAAACTTGTCTTTCCATGTAAGTTAATTGTCTAACACTATTCTACACTGTCTTTGCCATACAATCATTCCAAAGTTAACTATAAAATTTGGCATTAAAAATTCCAAGTCTGTTTTGCTTTGTTTCTGGAGACAGGGTTTCACTATGTAGCCTAGGGTGACCTCCAACTTTTGATCCTTCTGCCTCAGCCTCCCCTAAGTGCTGGTATTCCAGGCATGTGCCACCACACCCACCCCAAGTCTCCCTTATGAATGGACATACTTGGCATTAAGTAGAGGACAAATGTCACATGTGGCTACTCATCACACCTCATGATGCACACATGTGTACATCATATGCAATCTCTGTACAAATTGCAATAGCATGCATGAGTCCTACTATCCTACCTAAATAGCAATCCAATCCTAAATATCAATCCTCCACTGCTATTTGGACAGAGTCATGTTACGTAAGTCCAGGCATTCCGACCCTTCATGTGTGAATTCAAACTATGGAAGTGTTGTGAGAAACACACTGTCTTAAGGGCTCTTGCTGCTTCACAGGGATGGTGAGAGGGACACCAGACTCTACATCTGTTTTGTGGCTTTGGCATCACTCCAGGTATGTGAGCATTCAGATTACTTCTCAAGTCTCCAACAATGTTGTACAAGTTACCCAACTTCATTTTCTTTTAAAAACGTTGCTCCAGTTGTGACTAACGTGCATATACCTACGTGATCATGACTCTAAGGACACAAGGAACAATATAAACCCAGTAAGCTCCTACGTGCCCACTGCCAGTCATAAGACACCCTCAGTCCCTCCCTCCATGTATGACTCCATGAGACAAGTTTTTTGTTTTCAGTGGGGCATGAGATTTACTCGGGGCAAATGCACACAACTTCAAGTGTACCTAGTGATAATTTTTTTAAACATACTCTCTGACTGAGCCACATCCCCAAAGTCTTTACCCCAAGCGTTACTCAACCCTACCCCAAGACAAGTGCTCTGTATTCTGCCGCTGGCCATCAAGACAAGTTTGCATGTTCTGTGGTACCCCTTAGTAATGCGGACTTCTCTGGGGGTTAGCTTCCTTGCTCTAAAACACTTCAGGGATTCATTCATGTGGCTCGGTATTTAGTAGCACTTTCATCTTTTTTGCTGTCACTTCCTTTCTGCTGCCTCTTCTGATTTTCCTGTGTATCGTGAGAGCTACCTGACAGCATTCAGAACATAGCCACGTGTATAATTATGTTATCTGTGCACATAACCTCTTCATGAATACTCTTGTGCACTGGTTATCTGGTTTGTTCTTCTCCTGTAGATGTCAGGAGCTATTTATTGATGACCAATTTCTAGGAGTTTCAAGTATTTATGTGAACGTACAGCCCCTTAAAGCATGGCCTCAAGACCCTTTCCAGTGATAGATGAAGTCAAAAGTACTTCCATAATACCAAGATGCTATCTGCCCTTTTCCCCATGCTGGTATTTGCACCAACGCTACAAAAACACTTAAGTTGTGAGATTCCTGGCTTCATACAAAGCACGGGTGAAGACAGCAGCACCAAACTGTACTTACGGTCATCTGGAATCTTCACTACCGTACACCCTCTTAAATGGTAAGTAAGTCGTTAGATTAAAACCAAGTATTTCACTTAATGTTCCTGACACACAGGGAGAGCACCACGGAAAGACTGGAAGAACAATGCCACAAGCCAAGGCACCACCGGTGCTAAGAGAAAGGCTTACAACAGATCCTTCCCTACACATTCAGAGGGAAAGCATGGACCTGCCAACTCTTCATTTTAGACTTCTGATCTTTAGAACTGTGAGATAACGAGCATATTTTTAACCTTTTAAGAAAAATTTTTGTAGTCTCTGTTTCTGACAACCTTGGCAAACTAACACAAACATGACTTTGAAGCACACTGCTGGCCAACTTCTCATTCTGCTGACCCCCAGCTCAGATGTCACCCCCCACTCAGCCTTCAAGACTACCTTATCCAAAGGGGATCCCTTTGCTCTCTACCCCTATGCTGCTTTTTGTTTTGGGTTTGTTTGGTTGGTTGGTTTGGGTCTGAACTCAGGCCTTGGGCTTGCTAGGCAGGCACTCTACCACTTGAGCCACTCCGCCACCCCAACCCAACACTGTTTGACTTCTGCATAGACTTGCCACTGACACAGCCTGGCTTGCTTTAGTTGAGCTTTAATTATTTGTTATCCACAGCAAAGCTTGTACCATGTGAAGCCAGTGTCTCCATCTTTTCTGTCAGTGCTTGTCACTAGTAGTACTAAAATACATCTGTTGCAAGAACCAGACAGTCACATTTAATTTGGGCATGCATTACTCGTGTGTGTGTTCAGAAGCTTCCAGACACTCCTGGACTACCTTATTTGCTTCCTGCATCTCTTCTTCCAAGCCTCCCCTTTCTTTTCTTTCTTACCCTTGGAGGGCCTTCAGAAAGTACCTGGATTTGCTGCATGCACACAGACATGGCTCTTGCTGTGCATGACTTGCATGGGTGACAACATGGCCTGTTTGTGCTCACCTGCTAGTGAGATACAGGGAGACTGAGAGGAAATGATAAGCAACTCCCGGAAACACTTCATGTTGTCTCTGAGTTGTGGAAAACAGGGAGAATGAGATGAAATGATAAGCAACTTCAGGCAACACTTCGGATAAACATTCCTGAGACAGAATCCTCAAACAGGAGTTGACTGTGGGAACAAGGAAAAAGATTCACACAGTTGTTGATCTATTTGCTGTCCAATTAAATATTTTTATTTATGTGTAATTTACTGATTAGAAACAGGGTTTAAAGGGGAACGATTGGTTCAAGGTGACAGCGGAATGGAGAATGACCCCAGATTCTCAGACCTGAGTGTCTCTCTCTCTCTCTCTCCCCACGCCCCGCCACCCCCACACACACACAGCCTAGAGGGAAAAGAGAGTGAGAGCTATACTGCCTTGAAAACTCAGCACACCCCATGTTTACAGTGGCACTCCCTATTCACAATACCCAAGCTGTGGAATCAACCTAGTTCCCCATCAACTGGTGAATGAATAAAGAAAACGTGGCACATAGACACAATGGAGTATTATTCAGACATAAGGAAGAGTGAAGGGACCAGACACAGTGGCTCACGCCTACTACTACTACTAGTAGCAATCCCAGCTACTTGGGAGAAAGAGATCAGGAGGAGCCTGGCTTAAGGCCAGCCTGGGCAAAGAGGTAGCAAGACCCCCACCTCAACACACACCTATACTCTCAGCTATGCAGGAGGTTGCAGGTAGGAGGATACTAGTCTGAGGATACTGGTTCCAGGCAAAAAGTTAAAAGAACTTACCTGAAAAAGAACTAAAGCAAAAATAAATTAAAAAGTCAGGGGAGACACTGGGATGTGCCTTAAGTTACAGATCTCCTGACTAGCAAGTTCAAGGCTCTGAACTTGAGTACTCCAGTGCTCCCTCTCTTTCTCTCTCTCTCTGTTTCTCCTTCCCTCTCTCCCTCTTTTTCGGTTTCCCTTCCTCTTTCCCACCCTCAGTCTGTCTCTCTCCATCTCTCCTTCCCTCCCTCTCCTCGCTCTTCCTCCCACATATCCCTCCCCCTCCTCTCCTCTCCTCTGCTTCCTCCCCCTGTCCTTCTCTCCCTCCTTCTCTGGCTCATCCTTCCTGCTCCTCTCTCCTTCACCCTCCATCTCACCTTCCCTCCCCCTTCCCCTCTTGTCTCTATTCTTCCCTCCCACCTTCTATCTCCCTCCCTCTCTACCTCTCCCTTTCCATCTCTCCTCTGGCCCCCTCATTTTCCCCCTCCCTCCTTCCTCCTCTCTCCATCACTCTCTCTCATCTTACTCCTTGTCTGTCCCTCTCCTTCCATCCCTCCCTCTCCCTGTCCCCTTTCCCACATCTGTCTCCTTCCTTCCATCCCTCCCTCTCCCTGTCCCCTTTCCCACATCTGACTCCCTCCTTCCCTCTCCCCCTCCCTTTCCCCTCCCTCTTTCCCTTCCTCTCTCCCCCCCTTTCTCGCCATCTGTATCCATCCCTCCCTCCCAACTTCTCACCTTCTCCCTCTCTCTCAATTCCTCTCCTTTCCTCCCCCTCCCACTCTGTATTTCCCCCTCTTCTCTACCTCCCTCCCTCTCTGTTACAGAGGCACTGAGCAAAAGCAGTAGGAAACCCCCATGGTGGCCGACAAACTCCAGTATTGCTAATAAATAAACAAATAAATAAATGTAAAATTATATTGTTTGCAGGAGAAATGATGGAGCTAGAACTCATCACCTGAATTGAAATAAACCAGACTGCGAATGATAAATACCACGTATTTTCTCTCATAAGCCAGGCTTGTCCTGAAGTATATTTTGTTGCTGGGCAGCCTCCTCTGTCTGTCTTCCTTCTCTCCCTCCCTCTTCTCCCCTCTCTCCCTTGTCTCTCTCTGCCTCTTGTCTTCCCTGCTGGGATGAGTTCCTGTCTTAAACTGCTCTCACCAACACCGCCTAAGCACTCTGTTGAGGCATCCCAACCCCGACGTGCACACTGTGCATGCTGGCTTACTGTGAGAAATTCCTGAGATGCATCTGCTGCTCACCAAACTCTCCAGCCCTCTGAAAGTGTACAAAAAAGCAGTCAAATCGAAGCAGTTTGTACCACCTGGGGGAAGCAATGGAGGCTACGGTTGATGCTGAGTGCCTAGCCTCATCTCATAGCTAGCTTCCCTAATCTTAGCAGAGCACAGAGCCACCATCTGGTATTTTCTCCTTGCATCCACAGCTGGATCCACCCAGACTCTCAGGTGGCTGCTTGCTACACCTGTACACGGGAGTGTTCTTTGGGGTTTGGAATGCAAAAAAAGCAGAATCTTCTGCTTTCCCCATCCAAAACGTTTGACAAAGACACCTCCTGCAATGACTTCCCCCCACTTCACCAGCAACCAAGCTGGGAAGTGTTAGCGAACCTTGCACTAGCACTGGCTTGCTCCGAGATGCGAAGACATCCCATCTTAAGCCTTATGTTTTTAAACTCTGAGGACTTTTCCTGATGCTTGCTTTTTCCTTTCTTTGTGGCCCCACTTGGGGGATTTTCCCTCTTTCCTACTACTTTGCTCAGTGCTCTTGCAACAGGTACTTACAAGCTACTTTTGCTATTGCAACAGGTACTTACAAGCTACTTTTGCTATTGGCGGGGAGAGGGGGGAGAATGACTCCTTTCCTGGGGTCCATAAACTAACTAAAAGCAGGAGAAAAGCTTGACATCCCTACCTCCATTTTTGTATCTGCCTTTGCTTTGAGACATTCATCTTGCAGCCACCTTAGAATCCAGAAAGGACAGCAACTTTACAAGAAGAGATGGAAGAAACTGACCCCTAGGAAAGGAAGAGACCACCTGCCAGGCAACAATGACTTGCTTATCCTGACCACACTGCTCCCCTCAAGTCACGACAGCAATAGCAACTTCTCCAGAACCCTCCCAAAAAAGATGACCAGGTCACCCCTTGTGACTGCGACTGTTTAACTATGCATGCCACATACCCCCTGCTCTAATGTTTTTTCTATTTGAACCAAAAGTTCATGTCTGTACCAGGAAAATGGGCTGAAGGGTCCCCTGCCACGTGATAAACCTCCTTTCTCTGACCTTCACCATTACTTGTCTCCTCTACTTGGTGTACTGCAGCAACTGGCTGGACCTGACACGTGGAACCTCTGGAGCTTGGGCCAGTGGTCTAAAACCCCAGTTTCACTGTTTTTTAAGGTTCATTATTTCTTTTACAAATCTAAAGCTCCATAGTTCTGGTTTCCATATGGTTTCTGTCTACCGTTTACTGTTTCCCTCCCTTGCTTTTCTAGGTCACCCAACACTCAGAGTCACAAACCTGGTGACTTTGTTTCAGATTAGACTAGCACAGGAAAGCACTGGGTGTCTCTTATCCACCATATTAACAACTGCCCTACAAGTATTTAATATATCTCAGTAAGTACAAAGCTAATCACTACAACAAAATACAAAACCCTCCCAAAACCAAAAGAAATTCTGTATATAAAGTAAGGTGAAAATGTGAACGTCTAGAGAAAAAACATAGCAGACACTACATTATACTTGCAACTGTAAAAGATTTTCACAATACGGAAAAGGAAATTATTAGTTAAGTACAAATGGGATTAACCTACCTATTACAAGAATGCAATTTCCAACATGGCTCACAATGCAAGTCCTAAATGTATCATTTTTCTATGAGGCACATCTGAAATCAAATTACTTAGCAGAGGCAAAAGGATAAAATTGGGAATAGGAATACTAGACTAAACGAGAAAAACAACAGCAATGACATGAGGTCAAGCAGAATTCAAGTCCCCTGAAAGCATTACAACAGATTTTTTTAAAAAGGTGGTTTGTTTGTTTGTTTTTAAAAAAACATGAAAGGCCACAACGCACAGTACTACTCTGACATGTATTAATACTTAGGCGAGAAATAATGTAGCAACATTTTTGTGAAGAAAAATTATGGAATATTCAGGAAGACACATAAACATACAATTTAAAACATTAATGCACTATTTTCATTGCAGACGGACTGAAGGGTAAAACTCAATCAATCTTTCAGGTTAAAGGGGCATGACAACATGGCCAGGCATGGTGTTAAACAACTGGAATCCCAGCTATGTGGGAAGTAGAAAATGGGAAGATTGAAATTCAAGGCCAGCCCAGCCGAAAAAGTTGGCAAGACCCTATATCAAAACACAAGCTAGTGCTGGGGAAAGTGACTGTTTACAGACAGAAGACTGAAACCAGACCATCTCTCACCCTGAATGAAAATCAACTCTAAATGCACAAAAGATCTCAACACTAAGACCTACAACCCTGAAACTACTACAGGAAGACTCTGGAAGATTCATATATTTGTTTTCTGACTAGGACTCCAATTGCCCAGGAAATGAGAGCAAGAATTGTCTAATGGAACTGCATCAAGTTAAAACTTTGCTGCACTTCAAAAAAAAAGAGGTACACCACAGAGTGGGAGAAAATCTTCACCAGCTATTCAACACATAAGGGATTAATACCCAGAATATATAAAGAGCTAAAAACACCAAGTAGCAAAAGAACAAATAATCCAACTTAAAAATGGGCAAATGAAACTATAGACAGCCCTCAGACGAAATTCAAATGGCTAATAAATACAGAAAGGCATGTTCATCATCCTTACTCATAAAGGAACATGCAACTCAAAACTGCACAAAGACTCCATCCGGCCCCAGCCAGATTGGCAATCATTAAGAAAAAGGCATGGCAGTGTCTCAAAATGCTAAAAAACAGCCTTACCTTATGACTCCACCATACCACTCTTGGGCATGTATCCAAAGGAGTGTAAATCACTATACAAGAGAGATACACGTTTATTGCAGCTCCCTTACAATAGCCAAAATGATGGATTCTCTGCTGAATTCTATCAGACCTTTAAAGAAGAACTGATACCAACCCTCCTTAAACTGTTCCATGAAATAGAAAGGGAGGGAAATCTGCCTAACACATCTTATGAAGCCAGTATTACACTTATCCCAAAACCAGGCAAAGACACCTCCAAAAAGGAGAACTATAGGCCAATCTCCTTAGTGAACACTGACGCAAAAATCCTCAACAAAATAATGGCAAACCAAATTCAACAACACATCAAAAAGATTATTCACCACGACCAAGTAGGCTTCATCCCAGGAAGGCAGGGGTA